CCCCCCCCCCCCTCGGTGTCCACATGTTGAGTAATGAACCACGTGATTTTGGCCGCTAATCTAATTAGGTCCCTTAGTAACTTTGTCGAAATTTTTATGAGGAACCCTAGAAATTATCGTTAAAGTTAAAATCATCCTCGCTTATGGATTATTATCGAGCCTAACTTGGGTGAAGTGCACAAATAGCCTATTTGCACAACGCCATATTAGTCATTTTAAAAAAATATTTAACTTCTGGCCACTTATCATTGAGGCTGAATTTGGACTCTGTTTAAGCCTAACTTCAGTCCATGGGGACTGGGGAGAAGTTGAGGTATGCAGTTCAAGTTCAACTTCAGACCAAAACTACAAAGTTGAGGCCAACTTCAATCTCTTGTCTAATGTTATCCTCCACTTCAGCTCTTTTGTTCTGGAGTAGAGCCCACTTCAGTCTCGAGAGACATGAACTTAAATGGCTATTGTTGCAAAAACTTTAAAAAGTGATCACACTTTAAATGGCACTGTGCACAAAGACTGTCCTCTGATAATTTTAGGGCAAAAATCACTTTCACTCTCGACCAAAACTATTTATATTCGAATAGCTGTAAAAGTATATAAAATTTATATATTTTTGTACATAATATACAGAAAATATTTGTATACAAATATATATTTTTCGATTATTATTTTGAGAGCGGCTATACAGTGTTATTTTCCCATATTTTACGTCTAATTTGTCGGGGCATTTGCATCTATACCCAGTTTTTGAGTCACCATTTAACTTATACCCGCTTTGCACAAAAAATTGCAAGAGTACCCACTTTTCGGGTAACTTCAGACATACGGGCCTGGAGTAGTAAAATTTTATGTCTGGAGTTTGAACTTCAGAATTTTTTGCCTGAAGTGTAGCCTTATCAAAGCAAAACTTCAGATATTCTTGCCTCAAGTTTGGCCTGACTTGCAAAGCCAATCACGCAAACTTCAGTTCATAGTGCAAGGGCAAACTTCAGTTCAATTGTGTATGTCTGAAGTTTGAACTTCAGAATTTTTTGCCTGAAGTGTAGCCTTATCAAAGCAAAACTTCAGATATTTTTGCCTCAAGTTTGACCTGACTTGCAAAGGCAATCAGGCAAACTTCAGTTCATAGCAAGGGCAAACTTCAATTCAATTGTGTATGTCTGAAGTTTGAACTTGAGATTTTTTTGCCTGAAGTGTGGCCTTATTAAAGCAAAACTTCAAAATATTTTCACTTGAAGTTTGGCCTAACTTGCAAAGGTAATTGGGACAACTTCACTCCATAGTGCAAACTTTAGAACAAATTTGTCTGAAGTTCTTCAATTTGTAGTGCAAACTTCAGGACAAAATCAACTTGTTATATTTTAACTTCAGATAGTGCAAACTTCAGATAATTTGTAGTGCAAATTTCCACATCAGTGGTGTTGAGAACAAATTGGAAGAAGAAATTATTCTGTTATAAGTAAAACTGTAAAATAATTTTAGTTAAAGTTCAGGATTCTACCAAGCAGCCTTTATGAAATCCTCATTAGACTACCAAGCAACCAAAGAAGCAATTCGTTGCAAATTGTTTTGCTAGTGTTGGTGCTCTCTAATTTCCTCTAATTACTTTATCACTACCTCTGTTATTCACCATCGAAATAACGATAGACAAAACCGTGTACTTCATATCCAATCAATAATACTTACACAAAGTCTCATGTGTTTGAGAGAGAAAAGAAGAAGAAGAGGAAAAGAAGAGGGGGAAAGGAGCGCATAGGTCATGAGGAAGAAGAGGAGGCGTCTGAAGTTGTTAAAATTAGGGTATAGGTTAAATAATTTTAAAAATATGGGTATAGGTTTATATACGGTCTAAATTGGAGAGCTCGATTTCGAAGACTTGATCATACCCCGAGCTCGAGTTCAGAAGTAAGAATCGAGCCCGGCCGGGATGTGTGCACCT